ATAGGGCACAACTCCCGGATTAGGGTTTTCTCCCTTCAGCACCAACTCGCCGAGTCCACTTCCGACTCGCCGAGTTGGTCACTTAACGTGTGACCAAATCGCGACTCGACTCGCCGAGTCCATCCATAGACTCGCCGAGTCGACCTTCCTTATTTACACTAAGAACCCTAAACTTGCACTTCTGAACTCGGGGTGTTACAGTTTAATGACTTGTGGAACAACATGAAACGTCAATGGAAAAGTGGAGAAAGCGATGAAGTGATTTTGAAGAAAGCGTTGAAAGTGTATCAAAAAGAAAATCTGAAGGCTTTCAAGTTTCTTGAAGTTTGGAATTTTTTGAAAGATAACAGGAAATGGCTGAGTAGCAAAACATCAGACGAGCATATACAGTGGTTCAAAACGCAGCAGAACATCTGAGTCCGACCACACTACATCAGATGTTCGTGTTCAATTTGATCTGAGCGAAGATGAACCTGTTCCAGTTTCACCACCTTCCCGACCAATGGGAAGAGACAAAGCAAAAAGCAAAGGCAAAGGCAAAGCGTCGGATTCAGAAGATTTGAAAGAAATGGGAGCCGACATGAAGGGTATAAAAGACAGAATGGACAAGATTTTGCAAACTGCTTCTGAAAGAGAGCTTCGGAAACAAAGGGAGAGCGACATGTGAATACTAGCGACGGACACGTCGAATATGACCGGGGCCGAGCTTGAAGTGGTTTTGGCGATGAAGGAGGAAGTGAAAAAACGTTACATCAATCGTGGCTAATTTCTAGTTTTTTTTTCAAGTTTTTAATCGTTTGGTGTGTGTGTGTTTTTTTTTTTAAGTTGTAGGTTTTATGTTTCTAATTTGTTTTTCTAAATTTTTAGGTTTTTTTTAAGTTAAGTAATGTATGGTATTTGTATTTTTAATTAATGAAATATTATCTTTTTAAAATTATGTTTTTTTTATTAAAAAAATCAGTTTTATTAAATTAAATAGTTAACAAAAAAAAGAAAATAAAAGTGTGGCACCACCCCTTTGGTGTGTCAAGAAACCACACTTGTGTGGTAAAAAATGACATGACGTTTATGTGGCGGGGGAGGGAGTACGGTTTCGGTGGCACCACTCCTTCCAGCCTTAATCCTTCAAATAGTCCGAACCTCAAGTAATTTTGGCACATGAGTTACCTCATGATGCCCTCACAACATGGAGTTTATAGCAACTGTCCACAAACTAGTAAAAGACAAATTTGTCCTCATACTATTCACCAACCTAGCTTGCATTCTTCCCCTTTATCTTTATATATTTTGCTATAAAACAACATAAGTAAAACATAAAAAAAAAAAAATTATAATACTAAAGTTAACCAAAGTAAAGATGACAGTAGACTGTAAGAATAATGTTGTTACATTTGATTGATTTGGTAGGCAACTGCATTGGATCCCATGTTTACCTCACTTCCATAAAAACTGTTAAATTTATAATTTTTTAGATTTTTAATTTCCATTGTTTAAAGCTTCTACTGACATCAAGAAAAGGAGTGGGGATTGGCCCTGAGAAATCACGTGGACGCTCACTTAACCATTTGTCCGTGACTCTACTAACCACCAACTTCAAGAACACCTTAAAAAACCTGCAAATTGTTATCTGATTCTTCCTTTTTCTATTTTGTTTTTGTTCTTTCAAGCTAATCTATAATCCAGATCTATTGCAGATTTCGTGGTTAAAAATCTTCTGTCAATCATGGGTTTTAATGGCGGATTCCACCCTTCATTGCTTCATTAATGGAAACCCCAGCTCTAAACTACAACTTTTCTTTCGAAATTTGATTTCAAATGTTTGAAATGAGAAACTCGAGAGCTGTTCTTTTTCTTTTATTTAGCTTGTGTTTTCGATTTGTATTCAGTGGTGATTTAGAATCACTTCTGGAAATAAAATCATCCATTGATCCTTCGAATTCATTGCAATGGAGAGGAAATGATTTCTGTAAATGGGAAGGAGTTCGAGAATGCTTGAGAGGTCGAGTTTCGAAACTTGTTCTTGAGAATTTGAACTTGAGTGGGACATTTGATTCAAGAATCATCAACCAGTTGGATCAAATTCGTGTTTTGAGCTTAAAGCAAAACTCAATCTCTGGTCAAATCCCTAATCTTTCCAACTTAACCAACCTTAAATCACTCTATCTTTCATACAACAACTTTTCCGGCGAGTTTCCGGCGTCTCTCACCACCCTCCACCGTCTCAAAATCATTGTTATTTCCGGTAACCACCTTTCCGGCGACATTCCTCATTCATTACTTGGTTTACAAAGACTGTATATTCTTTACTTAGATGACAACATGCTAACCGGAAAAATCCCAGCTTTCAACCAAACCACCCTGAAATACCTAAATTTGTCCAACAATCAACTTTCCGGCGAAATCCCGATGACACGAACTTTATCAAGGTTCAACTCAACGTCGTTCATCGGTAACAATATTGACTTATTATGTAGTGATCCCTTTGGTATTCCATGTGGGGTAGTTTCCCCGACTCCGTCTTTTACTCCGGCGGATCAAACACCACCCACCACCGGAACATCGTACCACCATCGCCGGGTAATCAAGATCATAACGATAATCACCGGTTCCATCGGTGGATTATCTTTATTGTGTGTTTTAATCATTTTACTGGCGTTAAGCTTGAAAAAGGAGAATAAAACCAAGACGGGTACGTTCGTCGGAGGTAAAGGTGTAGAATCAGCAGAAGCGGTGGGTGGTGGTGGAACAAGTGGAGACGGAGGATCTTCATGGGATGAAGAAGGTGGTGGGATGGGGTCACTGGTGTTTTGCGGCGGTGGAGATAAGCCGGAGATGAATTATAAGTTGGAGGATCTGTTGAAAGCGTCGGCGGAGACACTTGGAAGAGGTACGGTGGGGAGTACGTACAAGGCGGTGATGGAGACCGGGTTTATTGTGACGGTGAAGAGGCTGAAAGATGCCACGTGTCCTAGTCTGGAGGAGTTTCGTAGACACGTGGAGGTGATCGGGAGGCTGAGGCACAAGAATTTGGTGCCACTCAGAGCGTATTTTCATGCTAAAGAGGAACGTCTACTTGTATACGATTATTTCCCAAATGGCAGCCTCTTTTCTCTTCTTCATGGTACGCAATTAATATTATGCAATCGTTTCTATATATACTTTTTAATTTGTGAAAAAAAAATAGAGATTTTATACCAAATATACAACCAAAAAAAGGTTAACATATCTTTCTATGTTAACGTTTAATTTTTTTAATTATGTAACAAACTGACTTTTATACAAATTCATTTAAGATAAAGAAGATATGATATTTTAGTGGTTATTTGTTTAACAAGTTTGAAATATGGTTGCATTAGTTTGAGTTGCATTACTTGTTAAAAAATATATAAAATTGTTATTTAAATTAGTAAAATTTTGATTTTATTTTTGTTCCTTACTTGGCAAAAAGTTAAAAGTAGGTAACTAGTTACTAGTTAGGATATTGCATATATTGTCGTAGAACAAAATATGGTAACATGTTTTGTCTATATTCACTTTGTTGTATAATTAGAAATGAAAATAAAACATTGATGTGTAAATATACATTAACCAATATGATTCTTTATGTCATGACATTATTATTTCTTATTTATGCAAAAAAAGTTTTTTTCTTTTCAGAGAGAGAGAATCATTTTTCATTTTTATGATCTATATGCAAATTTACTTGTAGCTTGTCTAATGAGTTGCAATGCAATTGTATCCTTTGTCTCGAAAACTAGCTTATTACATAAATCAACATAGATACAAACTTATATAAAAGTATGTTGCTATGTTATCTAGGTTTTCATATACTTCTTTGACGATAAAACAAAAGAGATATAACCATAATTGCTTTACTTAATAGAAATTTAGTTAATTTTTTAACAAATTCTTATGTATTTACAAAAAAGAAATTATGAGATGTTAAAAAAATGCTTTACAAAAATTATCAAATTATCAAAATATGATAAGGGACTATTTTGTATTTGAAAAATATTTTTACTTTTCAAAAAAACTTGTTCATTAACAAATTTATAAAAGCTCTAATTTTATGTATTATTTTGAATTTTTGATGATATAATTAGGCTTTTCGTATTTTCATTAAAAACTCTAACTAAAAAAATTTGCCCTAATTAGAAATAATTTACGGCCTGTTGCAGGATCAAAAACATCATCTGGTGGCAAGGGCAAACCACTTCACTGGACTTCCTGCCTCAAAATCGCCGACGATCTCGCCACCGGACTCCTCCATATCCACCAAAACCCAGGCCTCACCCACGGCAACATAAAATCATCCAACGTTCTCCTCAGCTCCGATTTCGAATCCTGCTTCACCGACTACGGCCTCGTCTCCTTCAAAAACCCCAACTCCACACACGAATCAAACCCTAATAATTCTCTCCTCCGCCGTGCCCCTGAATGCAGCAACCAAAAAACACCACCATCTCAACAATCCGACGTATACAGCTTCGGCGTTCTTCTCTTAGAGCTACTAACAGGCAACCCTCCATCCCAAGCCCTAATTTCAGACAATGGCTCCGACATTCCTAAATGGGTCAACACCATAAGAGAAGAACAAACCGAATCCAGCGGCGAAACCGTTTCTTCAGGTAACGAGAAACTCGCAGCGCTTCTCAACATTGCGATGGGTTGTGTGTCGGTTGTTCCAGACAACCGGCCGGCGATGAAGGATGTTTTGAAGATGATTAGGGAAACGAGAGCAGAAGCAGGTCATGTGTCGTGTAATAGCAGTGATCATTCACCTGGAAGATGGTCGGATACCGTTCAAAGCTTGCCGAGGGATAATCATAATCATCTGAATCTCAGCATATGATCATGGATAGTTGCAGTAATTCGTCTTGCTAATTAAGTAAAATTAAGTAATTATCACTCGATTACAGTAGGAATCTTGTTTCTCTTCTCCTAATTGCTACCCAGCAAGCTAAACATTCTTAGCTTTTTGAAAATGGAAGTTTCTTATTGTGGGTTTCAATCGAAATGGGCAATCAAAATACATGAAGAAAATTTGGATTGAATTCTGTACTTGGAGAATCTAAAAACTGAAGAAATCGTCTTCTCACCAAGAACCTGGTTCTTGTTTCATATGCATCCCGCTTGATGAGGTGAACATCATTGTCTGTGTTATTATAAAACTTTCATACATTACTCTAAAAAAAACAAGAATTGTAAAATGTAAATGTAAATTTGAAAAAAAACGATACCTGATTTTTAGTGGAGAGAATGGTATTGGCAAGATCTTCGTTTAGCGATACAGGTAGTGGTGGCCCAGGAATAAATCTCATGCTGCAAGAATTGAAGTAAAATTCATATCAATTTAAAGAAACAAAATTGATGTTTACAGAAGCAATAAAACATACTCGTTTAAAATGGCAGATATATTGTTCTTCATCTGGCTGAAGAGGTTGACATTGTCTTGAAGCTGTTAAAAAATGAATTCAATTCCATTGTAATCCAATTCCTTTGATGGATTCCATTCCTTCCAAAAAAATTTACTAATAATTTACTTACCTTTAGTGCACACATATTAGTTGAGATCTGACCAATAACTTGTTTGTTTTGTTCCAACAAATGTCTTATTGAGCCTTGTAAAGCTGCTTAAATGAGTAAAAATATAAATCATTGTGTCAATAAAAGTAAAACAATCAAGATAAAAATCATCTTACAAAAGGCATACATTGGAATATGAAGGAAGGAATCATGAGAGACTAACCTTCAACATGATTACCATCAGCCTGGACTCGATTATTCATTGAAACTGAAAATGGAGCCACATTAAATGTTGATATTGGTGGTACGACACTTGGCTTTGAGGAAAATTCCACCAATTTATCCTGAATAAATATGACACTTTAATTGATAAGTATTGTATACTAATATATAAACATGGTAAAGAGAGAAAGAGAGTGTTTCACAATGTAAATGGAGTATTAGACATTAGTTCTTACAAGCAATTTCTTAATTATTATCTTGGGATCTTGCAAAAATCATCTCATGTAAGTCAAGCTGAGTACCTGATCATATCAAAGCCCTCATTATCCTATAAAATGCTACTATATAACAAACTACTCAAAACCTATGAGTAGTACAACCTTAAAGACTATTATTCGATTATCTTTTTGACAATGTGCCATTAGAAAACTAAAGATGATTAAGAGACAGGTGTAAATTCATCCAAAGAATCCAAGGTCGCAACATTATTCTAATTCTAATTCCAGAGTTCCCCAATATACACAGTTAGATATGGTTATCATTTCTAATTAATTTGAAAAGAAAAAATAAATTAGTTGTTTCATATATATTTCAATAACAAAAATAACAAATAACAAAAATAGTCATATATATATATATATATATATATATATATACCTTCTTGTCTTTTGACTTCTTCCACAAACTGAATTCCTCATGTTTCCGTCTTTTTCTCTGATATGATGCAAAGATATTGATCAAAAAGTAATCTCTTAAAGTTTTATTTTAACTTTTTTAATTAATAAAAAGCAATTAATATGTTATATATTATATAAAAAATAAAGAGTGAGAAACTCACCGCCATCCATCTACACCTGAGAGCAACATCACGAACAGTTTTATTACGCAATGTGGCAGCAATCTTGACATACCTTATAATTCCAGGTTCATCAGCATATCTACATATATTGAACAAGGAAAAGGGCATAAATGTAATTTTCCAATTTTGAAAATGCAACACAAAGTGAACCCACTAGAGCAAAATACATACTTGAGAAGTGCTTCCTCTAGTTTATGTTGTTCTTCAACAGACCACTCCACAGCCACGCCTGCTCTGTGCTTCAATTCCGGGACGGAATCAACAATAATAGAATCACAGGAATTCCCAATTCCTGTGAATGTTGAACTACTGTTGTTTACTATAGCAGAATTCCCTGAAAAAATCATGCCATGTGTACCATTCATTCGATGGAAATCCAAACCCCCAATCATACTAATCTCAGATTTGCTGTCTCTTGGGCTAGATTGGAACGATATAGCTTGTTGGTTCAGAGATGAAGTTTGTTGATGGTGAAAACCCGTATCCATCACAATTGATTGATTTGTTATAGACAGGAGTATGATTAGGAAAATGGTGTTGAAGTTATGTAGCGTTTGAGCTACAAAACGGAGGGAATTTCGTACACCCAAAACGAAAGAGGAAAGGAAATACCCATGTTTTGAAACCCTAGATTCTCAGCTCAGATAGATATAACAGCCATAAGAATAAAAATCAAAACCTCCATTGATATCATCAAGAGCAACGTTAAATCGATCCGATCCCACGAAATAAAGTAGCATAGAATTACTGAATCAGTGGTGGAAGTACCTTAGTGAAGCTGAAACCCCAATCGGAGAAAAGACGAAATACCCAAAAAGGCTGAGAAGTTTCGTAAAATCTACGGAGTTCAGCAAACAAGTATCGATACAAAGAAAATTGAATTAAAAACGGGTAACTGAAAAGATAAAAAGGAAAGTTTGATAAATTGCATCCACTTTAGAAGGGAAGCTCTGATTGGTTGTTTGTGTCGCCGCCTTCGTTCTTTCTCTCACTACAACATTCTCTACTTGACTTTCTCTCTCTATATCTATTGGTGGCGAAAGAATAGAGAAGAGATCGTGTGGATAGATGAATGACTTTCCTTCTGCTGTTGAGCTTTTTTATAAAGTTTTGGTCTAGCAAGCAGACCAGGCCATGGGATTTAGCAAAAAGTGCGAATCGATAAGCATTTGATGCCCATTACTGTCACCATTCCACCAACCACCATGAAAGGGTGTATACCAATGATAGCCTCGATTGTCGAAAATGTTTTTCTTGAAGGTGTTTAAAGTTTAAACCTAATTTATATTTAGTTTAAACCTAAAATATAAAAGAAAAGTAACCAAAAATATATCATTGTACAAAATCAATCGATTCATAAAAATTTATTAGGCTGTGTAAGTTGATAAGAAATAACATTTAATAAAAATTAACTTATAATTTAACTAAAAGTATAGAATAACATAAAAATACACTTGGAAACATAATTCGGTATTTTCCAAAAGAGAAATTAAATATTCTCCTATTTTTTCTTTTTATAGTATCTTCATTGATAAACATATCTTATCACTTAGTATTTTTGCCCCTCATCATCCTAATACTTTTGATCTCTAATTAAATGAGTCTTCCAATGGTTAAACATTTTCAATAGTTTTTTTATAAACTAACACCTAAATTTCACTTATGTTCACAACGGGATTTGAACCATCGACCTTAAAAAGGAAGGGCACCACCTGATACTACCCATGTGAAATGATGACACTTATCATATTTTGTTAAAATTAATAATAATTTAAAACATGTGTTATCATTTCATATGGATAAAAAGATAAATAGGAAAAAATAAGATAATATTTATTTTCTCATTCCAAAAAGTTGAAACCTTCGCTAACATATTTGTTTGAAAACCTAGTGCAAATGTATATAATAATTCAACATTTTCTTTGTATACGATAATAACTCAACATTTTCTTTAGATTGGTAAGTTATCATTTGGGGTAAATTACACCAATCGTCTCCTGTGTATGTGCGATAATGCACGTTTAGTCTCTATTTTTAAAAATTAACTCGGACTGTCCATCGTTTGTTTAAAACTTTAACGTTTCGTCCCTGATATGCACATTGTTGCGATTTTAGACCATGCTAGATTTTAAATGACCATAATGCCCTTTATGTATTTTTTTTTCCAATGGATTTAATGTTATTATTGTTATCTGTAATTTAAAGAAAAATATGGCCCCACCCTCAACCCCGCCTCCTTCACTGCCATGAAACAGAACCTCTTCCTCACATCCACTGGCGACCATGTACCTCTTGTCAAAATGCTAGCATGCCCTTCTTCTCTGATGACTCTCAACTCCGACAACTCTCAATTCTGTTACTACCTAATCGTTTTTCAGGAAAAAAACATATCAATTTGAGAAAAGCAAACCAAAACACATCGATTTCATAAAACTAAAGCAAATTGATTTCAAAATGTTAAGACATAAAGTGACCATCGATAGCTGAAGTGTGTAATAAATACCGCAGAGTTGATGATTCAAGGAACCAGAGAGGAGATAAAGAATACCGAAGAGCCTTGTAAGTTGTTGAGCAATACTAGAGAGGAAAAGTCTAAAAATATTGTTATGTCTTTTCAGTGATAAAACAATGATGAACTTTATCCTGACATTTCTTGGTGGATTCCACACATCAGTCATGGGCAATAGGGTCACCCAAGCTACTCTTATTTTATAATTTAATGTGTAATGTTTTGTCCTATAAATAGATGATCTTGTTAATCAATCTAAGTAAGCTTTTCCACTTTCAATATCTTTTCTCTGTGTAATCGTTATATCAATACAGAAGTCTCTTTATCAAGATTATCTTTCATACTTAGTTGTTCATCATATTCTAACTTGGTCTTGAATGCAAGCCTTGTTACGATTCAACTAAAGTGTTATTTACTTGCCTATGTTTTAAGTAAACTTGTTGCTATATCTCTTCCTTATTATTCCGTAATCTAGTCATTGTTGAGCTTCACTAAAAGATCCATTAATTTCGCACTTAACTCAATATCATTCAAAGATTAAAACATCTTTTTTACTGAACAATTGATATCAGAGCCATAGTGGTTGCTTTTTATTTTTCTTTAAAAACAAAACTCGTTTTCAAAAGAAGAACTCTGATTTAAAAGCTTTCTATACCACTTAGCTCATTATTTTAAAAGGAAATATAGCGCAAACTTACTCTTTAAATATATCCAACAGTGTTGGAGGTTCTAATAGAGCTCCAATACTTGTTGCAAGTGAATATCATCATTGGTCTCAATGTATGGAAATATATTTAAAAAGACTAGATAAAGAAGTTTGGAGATCCGTTGAAAAAGGACCACATGTACCTGTCCTTACTCCCATTGTCGTCGATAACGCTCAAGTTAGACTTGGAGGTGGTCAAGTAACTATGACCAGACCTACCAACGATGACATAAGCAAGATGGAGAAATATGAAATTGCTTTCTATGAAATCTCTTGTGGAGTTCCACCTTATAGTTTTGATTTTATCATCAACTGTAAATCAAAAAAAAGTATGGGATGTTCTTAAAAATCTTTATGAAGGTACAGAGCAAGCTCAAGATAAAAAGCTGACAACTGCTCTAAACGAGCTCAACAACTTTAAAGCTCTTCCTGGTGAAAGTCTCGATGACTCCTTCAAAACATTCAACCTCATCGTCACCAAACTCTCAAATGAAGGAATCACTCGTAGTGATCACGAAACAAACCTACAGTTTCTAAATGGCATGGGAAAACAATGGACAGTGGCGAAGATGATAGTTCAAGGAGATAGCAAATTTAAAACTCTTTCGTTATAAAAACTCTACGGTGAACTACAAGCTCAGGAGTCTACGGTGATGAAGAACAACATGGATCTAGGCGGACCACTCGCTTTAGTCGCCCACTCACCGCATACTACCAACCCATCTCATCAGTATCATCATACCGTGTAAACATCATGTCAAACTTCATATGACGACACACTGCAGTCATATGAACCATAAATGCAACACGGTGATGAAGAAGCTTTTCAACAAGCATTAGCCCTTGTTAGCCAACAGTTCAACAGACTCCCTCCTCTCAACTACCGTAAAAACCAACACTTCACAAGACCTCCATTTAACCGCAACTACCATCCTCAAAACAACTCCCCTCAACACTATCCTCAGTTTTCCAGATATCCTAGAAATCCATTCTATCATCCCCAGTCTCAAAACACACCATTAATGATCTCACACTCCTCTGAAGCATCAAAAGAAGAAAAATATTTAGATAACACAGAAGATACAGAAGAGAAAAATGAAGGAGTTCTCATATGCCATAAATGTCACAAAGAAAATCATTTTGCTAGAGACTACAAAGCCAACGTCTTAAAAGACAAAGCATTCTACCTAAGAATGACTCAAGAAGCTGAAGATAAGGAGAAGATTGAGAAAGCCTTTATGGCACAAGTGAGAAGAGACCATCAAGTTTGGTCCTCAAGAGATGAAGATGAAGATAATGACAACAAGAGGAAAAGAGGCAAGCTATGTCTAGTTGCAAAGGAGAACACTGAAGATATGAAGAAAAACTATTGCTTCATGGCAAAGGAAGGAACCATCAGCATCGTTGAACAGGTAAAACTTATGATTAAGTCAAATAATTACAGCATGCATGACTATCAACCATATCTTGTATAAATTACTCAAACGTGTGATGACGTCTTTTCAGACTACAACACGGCCTTATATGAAAAGAACATAGTGACCCAAGAGCTATACCACTTGAGAGGAAGACTAGAAGACAAAAAGCTTAAGGTCATCATGTTAGAAGCAGATCTGAAACTAGAAAAGGATAATAGGTTACTTAGTAAAACTCAATTAGACGTTGCTTTTAATCAAGGGGATCTAGCCCGAAATGAAATTGTACGCTTAAACAAATCAATAGAAAAGATTTTTAATGAAAGTGAAGCAATTGAAAATTTAGTCAATAATGGGACCGTAGACAACACCTATAACTGGGGATGGTCAAATGGTTACAATACCGGAGAGAAATATCCACCTCGGTTTGATGCCGAACATCCCTATGTACCCCCTGAAAGGAACTTTCACTTCCCAATCAATGACAAGACCTATCCCAAAGAGATTTAATGTCATTTTAGAAAACTTCGTGTCCTAAACAACAACTGTGTTGTTGAAGAAATTGTCCCAGAATCCTCAGGACTCTCTGAGAATATGCAATCCATACCAGTCATTGGATCGATATATCCTAGCGCGGGATCTGACTTGGACGAAGAAATCATTATGGATCTGTAACATTCCATTTCAAATAGAGTAATTAAATAATAAATCTGGAACCCCAAGATGTAAATTTACATTTTATATTAATTTATAGTGTCCCAAAAATTCATAATATTTAGCGGGGTGTTGATTTCGGGGAGCCAAACGATATAATTTGGGTTTTCGGGGGTTAAAGTGTAATTTCAGGATTTATTTTGTAAAGATTTTCAGAAGTCAGGGGGTCTTTGGTATCATTTGGACTTAATATTAAAGGATTTATGGAAGCAGGGGCTAAAGAGTAAATTCTAGACCTAAATTGAAAAGGTTTTGTAGAGGAGGGGCCATTTGGTAACATAAGGACTTCAGTTGAAAATAATTTGTAGAGGGAGGGGCTGCTTGGTAAAATATTGGACTTAATTTGAAGGGATTTTGGATGGCTGGGGCTAAAAGGGTAAATTGTGGTATTTAAGTTGAAAAGAATGGACTTGGAGGGGCTGAAGGTGTGAATAGGGCCAAAGGTTGAGTTGGGACGGATGCGTATAAACCCATCACACATGCATCCCTAACCCTAACCCTAATATCACACACCAACCACCACCCTCTTTCCTTCGATCTCCGGCGCCGCTACCCCCTGTTGTCGAGTGCCACCGTCGTAGTTCCTGCCGCCGATGAAGACAAGAACTAGGGTGGCTGTTGTTACCGCTGTTGTGGGTCGCGTAACCCCCCTTTTCTCCAACCTGCCATCTATCACGCCACCCGGTGTTGCCGACTGCTGGCCGTGGCCGTCGGTACTGCCATCAACGAAGGTGAAGGACGCCATATACGTGTGCAGTCGGAAGATCATGGTGGTGACTAACTTTCTCCCTTCTGATATGGCGCAAGTGCTTCCCTTCTCACATCTCTTCGTGTTGTCGTCGCTCGTTCGTGCACTCTAGCCTCGTCCGTCGCCGCTCCAACGGCTGTTCCGCTCGATGTCGTCGCCGTACGCCACCAGGTGGGTGGTTGTGCTTAGATTCCGAGCTAAGGCGGGTGTGTGTGTGCTTCTGCTACGAGTATACATGTCGTATGCGTGTTTGCTTTGCGGGACTTCACGAGAAAGGCTACCACCACCACAGTGGGGTGGTAGCTGCCACCCTCTACCACCGCCTGCCACCACAAGGGCGGCTGTGTGTACATTTTATTATGTGTGTTTATTTTGGATATTTGTTGCATGGATGTTGTATCATTGTATCGTGGCCGAATAATAAAGGAAAAAACCCACCACCACCACCGTGAGGTGGTGGCTGCCGCCACCAGCCGTCGTGTTGGGTGGCGGTGTGCATTGTGTGTTTGGATTTTTAGTTTAGATGCTTGGACATATTTAGCCTAAAATCATAACCACCACCGTGAGGTGGTGGCCGCTGCCGTGAGCTGCCGTTGACCACCACTACCCGAGGTGGTAGTGGGTGTTGCCCCACTTATTTAACCCTAATTGACCTAAAAACCTAACCATTTGACTAATGGGCACGCGATTGGGTTGGAAACCCTAATTAGGGTTTAGAAAACTCTAATTTTGGATTTGTTTGTTTGGGCTTTTCGGGACCCGCATTTTGGGCCATTGGAATTGAATTATAAATTACACCCGATCACACCGTATGATTTACCTAGTAGAATGATGGACTTAATGGATTAAGTCCTTAATGGGTTAAGTAAGAACACTTTAACCCTATTCGTCATTTTATGTGCAAACCCTAATTTTACTTGGGCCTTGAGTTGGGCTTTGATGATTGGGCTATTGATGGGCCATCCAAGAACAAGTATATGGACTAGAATATTTGGATTGGGCTTTAGGATAAGGCCCATTGGAAAGGTGTAACATCCCGAGATTTTACAGGTATTTTTGGATCCTCTCTTTTGTTATTTTGTCAATTGTAGTCTCTGGGGTTAGAAGAGTCGACCCATTAGAAGCCTAAGGGCTAAAGTTGCAACTTTGATAACAATACTAGTACACTAAGCGTACATAAGGTACGCTAAGCGTACTAATGCGCGCCTTAGTACGCGGGGTGTACACTTGTGTACGCTAAGCGTACTCGTGACAGATGCAAACCCTAATATTTAGGGTTTGAGTGCTATATAAACATCCTTATGAGCTCACAACCCTCCCTTACCTCAGCCTCCACAGTTTTGAGCCGTTTTCCCCAAACCCTAATCCTTTCCTTGAGTGTGTGAGCTTATAGTGTGTATTTTGAGTAATTGGAGAAGAAGGTGTTGCATCAAGGAGTTGGAGAAGAAGGACAAGCTTGTAGATCTGAAGTTTCTTTGTGCTCTAGAAGCTCTAGAAGGTAAAAAGCTTCAAACTTTATGCTTGTATGTTATAGATCTTGCCATGTTAGCTTTATGGAACCATTTCTTGTCCCAAAGTCCCCATAT